TAGGCTGTAATAATGGCACAGTAGAAATGGCCTAGGCTGTAATAATGACACGATTGAAATGGCCTAGGCTGTAATAATGCCACAGTGGTAATGGCCTAGGCTGTAATAATGGCACAGTTGTAATGGCCTAGGCTGTAATAATGCCACAGTGGTAATCACAGTGATGGATGTTGGATATATGTACTGGTACTATATATTGCAAGTTCTGAACTCCGGGTTTCATTAAGTTCTGGAGTAGGTGCCAATTAGTGATACTTTTTCATAGGTTGCTAGTCTTAAAAATACAAAGTAGCTGGCTGAATTAGCCAAGTACATCAACAGCTATTTATCTGGTAGTCAAAACCTAAGAAAACCATTGTACGATTTACTTTTTTACAAGTATTCCTTCGATTCAAATTTCCCACCTTGTATAGACTGCGAATCTGAAAGTGTGCAAGAAGTGTGACGAACATTGCACAAGTCATGGCATACTCCTGAAATTCTCAGATGAAAGAAATGTTATAGTTAGTTATTTTATCTATATCAACTCTAAACAGGAAGTAAATAACTATTCATGCTTGCTTTATTAGTCCCTGTTCGAAACAGGAACTTAAAATTCGGTCTCCTTCTGTTTGTTTGTCTGTCAGGAGTCATATTTCAGAACCTGTGGACGAAATCTGTTCATTCTTTGCATGTGCCTAGTATTCAATCCAACCTGGCTGACTGGCAGTCATTTTGTTTTTCATGAAAATGTTGTATCTCATTCATCCTTAGTCAGTTTTTGTTTAAATTTAGTACATACATTATACATATAAGAATACATGTCTATAATGATTCGGTTCATGATTGGATCAAAGATGGCTGACTGGCAGTCATCTTGTTTTTCGGAAATGTTGTATCATAGACATGGTTTGTCATTTTCATTCAAATTTGTTATATACATTGTACATTTTAGATTACATGTCTGTGACAATTTGTTTTACAATCACTTTTTAATCATACTACTATTATATCTCCAAGGCTTAGGGATCATTTTCATTCATCACCAGAAACGAGGGGACAAGATGGCCGACTTCCGCCCTGACCAGTGTTCCCCAGTCAAATAAACATCACAGAATGTGCCATAGAGAATGCATTGCATAAACATATATTAAAACAAATTTTAATTTTGAGTTTATATTTTTCATTTTTTCACTTTTGTGTGCTTCGTAATAGACAGGTGACGTTCCAAGCTTTCGATATGTTATAGACGTTTTCATCAAAACTCCACATAAATGCCCAACTTGCCGTAAAACCTGATGATAAATCCTACACTGGTCCAGTGTATTACCAATGGACGATATGTATTTGTGTGCCAGACTCTATTTTTAAAAATAGGAAAATGCACTAACGCAGGTGACTGTTCAAGTTTGTTTGCTTCGTTCTGGATACTCTCTGGTTCAATGAACACGACGACGCAGTTGACGCAGTTGTAGACGCAGTATTCGCTGCCCAAATTAGAGTTGAAATTCATGCATTTTTTACACTGATATACGATTCAGTTGTTAGCAAATATAACTGTTTTAATCCAATTAACAACAGGAAGTAACCTGAATCAAGATTTCTTTTATGTTCGTTAGTCCATGGAGGTAAAAAGAGCATGGTTAGTCCATGTTAAATCACCCCACTTTTCGAGCGCAAACCACTATCGCCATACTCCTTTCGATGCTGAAGGTCAGACCACAAGATCAATATATTGTATCGGCCGTTTTCCCTTTTTATAAAAGAGGCGTTTCATCCCACTGCCTGTCCGTGAGTTGTGTATTGTTCCACGACAGTCTCGACTTTTGTTTTGTAATGCGTCAGACAAATGTAATTTGCATACCAATCGCCATTGACGACAACAATGATATTTACAAGATTAGTCTGTTCACATATTTTTGTATTAAGTATATAACGGATGGCTGTCTTCAATGCCACCATAAGAGTGTACCTAATGGTATCTCGTTCTCTGGCAACTAACACCATTTATTACATGGCTTCATATGATCAGCTAACAAATACAAGTGGGCACAGAACAAAGGAAACAAAAGATTACCTCACTTACTATTGTTTCCAACCCCAAGCTGTGAACTACTTAACATAACAATAGACTCTCAATTAGGCTAAACAATAGATCTTTAAAGTCTATTACATCATCTGTTGTCTTGAATAATTTTGCATGTAATTATAGTCACTGCAATGGTATAGACAGGAAATCCCTACTTGACCAAATTCTATTGTCCATTTCTGGCAATGCCTGTGACCTGAACTACAACCAGGAATTGCCGACTTTTATTGCATTGCTCTTCACATAGATACATACTTGTATAATATAGTTTAAAATACAGGAGTGGTGAATTAGAGCAGGGGATAACATCAAACTTTAGACAAATGTTTATGCAGGAGAACAAACATGCGTATTCCTTTTATATGCCTCTGATCGACTGATCAATAAGTAGAATTTTACTCTCCACAGAAGTCATCAACAGCAGTATTCTCCCCAAGTGTGTGCAGCGGATCTCATTGTAAAATAATCAACATTAAAGCCAACTCACCTCCAGTTCCTGTCTATCGTAGTTTGCCATGTATTCGTCTATTTCTTTTTGCATTTCTGTGGTGTCTGGTATGCTATCAATGTACTCTTTACACCATTCTACAATGACGAAAGATTACAATAGAAGTTGTGAATGTCTTATCCCAAGTTTAGTTAAGAACTAGAGACAGCCAGGTTCTGAAATAGCCATCCTACATGACTTCTTTTGTCACATATATGTACATGTATATACACACATGACATGTAAATAAGTATGAATATTATGCAAAATTTTTACCAATGAATGAGCTCAACTACATAGTACTAAAAAATGAATTTCAAACAAAGTGACAGCGAAGATTTATTTTTTTACAGTGACTCCCTGTCAATCTCCCTTGCAGCACTGCAATATTTTTAGGAACAATGATAGTGGTGTTTGATTTGACAACAGCACTTTAAATCACAACAAGATGATGGTGTTTTTTTCTGCTTGGCTGTGTAGCATTATCGTCATCATGATTGTAGTACAGTACAATATTTTATTTTCGCTTGGAATAAATTTTCGCTATTTTCGTTGAAGGAATGATTCAGTAAAAATAAAATCCAGCGATTATACTTTTTTTCCATTATATTTTACATTCAACTCGACAAAAATCAGTGAAAATAAATTCCAGCTAAAACTAAGTATTTTACAGTAGTCATTAATTATTTTTTAATAAAATTGGGTCACTCACTTTTCATACCAGCAAATATAGGACTTTCTTCTGTTGACAATAATAATGGTTGTTTATAATTGAATTTCTTTGCATTTTGTAGACCAGACGGATTTTTGAATATAACATAAGCAACCTTATAACCCTGGAAATGAAAAAAAAAATCAAATCAAATCCTAATATAACAATAATAAACTCCTAACTGTGCCATACTGGGTGAGGAGTCTATGAGGAGTTGCAGTTGAACACATTATAAAGTGTAGAAATGCTATCAGAAATTCTTTTCCACTCTGTGAATATACTCGGTGAATAAAAATTTCATAGTTCTACAGACAATTGTTACACCATTTGATGTGCAGAACTGTGCAAGAAAACAATAGATCCTTTGTATGACATATGGGAAAGCAGAGCAATAAAATGTACGTAGTCCATGACGACTCACTTTTATGAGATTAACTTGTTTAAAAAATGTTGACTCTTCCACTGCTGTTTTTGTCTTTGAAATGCCTGGTTTTTGCTGAAAGTGGACACTCTCGACTGTTCCACATTGTGAGAATAAACGTTGAAGACATTCCTGAAACAGAACATATGCACATAGTCACTGTACAAAAACTATAAACTCTTTGGCATTTTTTGCTTAAGGTCCACCAATTAAGTAACAAAAAGTGGATAAAAAAATGAGGGTACCTACATTTATTTGCAAGTAAACATTTTGAGATTTCCCAATACTGGTAATATTAAGCCCTACTCCTGCCTGCAACTATTTTCAACATAATGTCGTAATTTTGAAATTACACCTGTGATTGGAGTTTTTTTTAAATAATTTTTCCGGGGGTTGTATCTCGATGAATAATTTTTGGCACGTGACAAATTCACCACTCTTGTAAATTTTGTTTTGTCAACATTTATCAGCATCAATCACCTTAATAAATTCCCCTTGGAAACGGTTGAATGAAAAATCTACATGGATCAAGAGTGAAGTTCATCATTAAGGTTGAGGTTCATCATTCATAAACTAGCTTGGATACCATAGTTTTTTCTTCTTCTGACACTCAAAAAGCCAGTCACAGAGAAATAAAGCACAACAGAGGAAAGTCAACAAAAGTATACATGTATCAACCTTAGTCAGAGTTATAAACGGAAAGCTGTTTGTAAGCACTCAACATTATCATGTATGTTCATGTCAGTAAGCCACCCATTTAATTGGTAAAACAACTGACAAATAACAATTTCATGCGACTGTGTACTGTCTGAGGGCATACTTGGCAATAGCCTCATACAAATTGTATTACTATAGTACGAGTACATGTATACCTTCCTGATCCAATGTATGAAGTCCAGTACAAAAAATTGGAACTTTCTTGCTGTGAACTTGGATTTCAAATACACATGTATCATCTTAGAATTTGTATTTCTTAATATGGTAGAATGCTTTGATTTACAGAGATATGGTTACAATTATGAGATGTAATGTAACCAATCCATGAGGCAATAATATATAAGTACATGTAAAAGAATACCTCATTGCAATATGCTGGAATGTTGACCACAAAGAGTGTTCTATCCGATGGCTTTGATGAATCTTTCTCTCGCACATTATGTTCTTTGTAATAAAAATATCTCACAACGTCACTTTTGTTATTTAGTTTAACTGGCATCACTGCAAAACAAAGTTGAAAATGAGTTCATACAGTTGTACATAATTTGTTATTTTTTGTTACTGGAGAAACTTATAACCTTGTTTAACAAGGACTAAAGAGAAGCTCATTCAGTTGTGAACAAAATCTATAAGGGTGGTGATTTAATTATTTTCCCTGAGTGATTGAGGTAAATTATGAGTCTAAAATGGTAATTTTTATAGTTTTTTGGGAGACTATATTAGGTGAATTTATGCAAATATGTCACATAAGTCAGAAAGCAATTTTAATATTATATCAACATTTATTTCTGCCTGTGATAGTAAATTTCTGAATGCCCTCCTGTCATCGCCATATTTGTTCTGAACACCAAAACATCACAAAATTTGCCATTTTGGGTGATTCAGCGAATGTGACCTGAATATAAAAATCACGCAAATGTATGGGGTGGGCGCTTGACCAGACACGGGTGCTAATGCGGTTGAGTTCGGTATAACAGTGCATAAAGTTGTGTCTAAATATTTTTTTATATTTATTTAATATTATTTAAATTAATAAATAGGGAAGCCTGGTAAACTTTGTCACACCTTGTGCATATATATATACCAGTAGTTATATACCGGAATTACAGTATATATATAAATGGAATTACCATATGCTTACTACAATCAGATTTATTCCACTGCAGTATGTTTACTCATATTATTATCATTGATTAGTATTCATTAGATTTATGCAGTTAAAGTTGTATATTTCTACCACCATTGCATACATTTCAATTGATTATACGTACGGCTATTTTTAATCCCCGTTCTGCGCATTAATTTAATCTTTATCTCACTCAGGGCCCTCAAAGCGTCAGATACAAATACCAGTAAAAGTACACATATAAACATTGAAGGGATTTGATTTCAAGTACAAATGTTTATCAATAACAAAAGTTGCTTCTGACTTACTGGTATTAATCATCAACTAATTTATATTCACCAGGAGAGGTCAAACTAATAGTAGGGGACTCTGACACATTGATATTCAAATACTGTGAAATACTTTATTTTAGCTGGAATAAATTTTCGCTGAAAAAGCTTTTTCGGTGTTTTGTATGGAATTTATTTTCACTGACAATTGATGAGTTAAATGTGAGACATAG